CCCCCCCCCCCCCAAAACGAAAACTCTTCGGTTTCTCCACGAATTACACAAAGTTCACCAAAGCAGCGTTAAAAGGGGGAGCGCCGAAAGCGGGACTAATTTTTGGCATCACTGTAAATTAAAAGCAATAATCGTGGCTTGATATTGAGTAAGAACATGTTTTTATGAACCACACAGCTTCCGGTCTTCCTATAACACGTAATGCCGTGAGACTACCAACAGAAATACATTGCTTTTAAAATCGTGCTGTGCAACACGAAAAAAAAGGGGAAAGACTACCAATAGAAATACATTGCTTTTAAAATCGTGCTGTGCAACACGAAAAAAAGGGGAAAATCGTGTTGGTGAACACGAATCAATAGATTAAAAATCGTGTTGGTGAACACGAAATGCCGTGAGACTGGGTTGGAATAGGTACCAAAATAATATAACTCAAAACACACACTCACTTAACAGCAGCACGTGACAAATATGGCGTGACACTGCCATGTTACTGAATGGCCGGAACTGTGAAACTAGCTAGACTATGGTATTTTCCTCATCACCATTTACTCACTGCTGGCTGGCTAATACTCTTAACAACATTTAAAATGCATTTGCTTATGCCACAGTGTTGAATGTCAGTTACTTACACGTCCAAAACTACTGTGTAAAACTGTTTTTTATGAAAACAGCTACTTAGCATGGCGATGCTAACAAGAACAATTAGCTACAAAAGGACACTGGCTACACTTACACACATATCACTAATCCCGTGAAACATTACTAAACCATTGACAGTGCATTTACATTATATCTCGATGCAAGCTAAAGACAGAAACGTTAGTTTTGCAGTACCTGTGGATTTTAGAGAGAGGACCAAAGTTAGCGTCTTGCTCAGATCACAGCACGTTTATTTCTGACATGCGCATGAGCTGAGTTCCTCCCTAATAGATCCACCGCAGCGCCAGCGCGCCATCTACTGACGTTACAGTGTATTGTATACATTTTAGGAAGATTATATTATTAACAAAAAATAGGGGGGGTGTCTGTTTAAATGTAACATCTAGCATTTCCAACCTGCTACATCACCACAAATATTTTATAATTTTTTTCTGTCAAGGAAACAAGCTTGTTTTTTATCGTAAAATGTAGACTTAAAAGGAACAAGTGGACATTTAAAATTACAAATTGGACAGTTAAGGCTGTCATGCTTTATTAGCTCCAATAAACCTTCATGAGTCACTTCCTGCATTTAATAAGGGACATTTGCCTCTGCCACCTTCACACATATAGTTTTACACATGTTCACATTAAATAGGCAGTCAGACTGTCATATACTAAACCAAAATCCCAATGTCAAACAGCTCATGGAAACATGTATATTCTCAGATTCTTCAAAGGAAAATAAACCTCATGACCAGTCTTAGTTTTCACTAAGCAACCTCAGTAGTGATTGCAGTCTAGAAATGTACGTTTGCCCCTGTCTGCAGGGGCCAAAAATAATCACTTAATGGTTTGATCACCATGAAAACAAAAACACCTTTAGGGAGCTTCTGGTGTGCCATGTGAAGAACGGTACTTTCCACCGTCATCAACAAAACATCAGATGAGGTCATGGTTTGTGAAGGGGTCGTCTCCAACTGAGACACACTTGAAGGTGTTTTGGCATCTTTTAAAAGTGCAACACCCTGTAAAGACATGTATTGCCCGTCAGATTTATTTTGGCATTTATCTGAAGTTATAAACCAAAGTTAATGAAGGTCCCTTAGCAACAGTGTCCAGGCTACTTTTTGCTTAATATCTTCTTTCGCAGCATTTAACATGTGCTATTACTGCCATAATAGCAGAAAGGAAATTAGCGAGTGCACACACACAGTGATTCAAGCTTTCCATGGTGCAAGTAATGGCTTAATAAAAACGTTTTCACAGACCAATAATCCCCTAAAGAGCTTCATCAGATTGAACACAGAAGGGGGAAATCAGAGATCAGATGTCACAGCAGTCATATAGCTAACGCAATGATTCCTAACCTGGGAGTCAGGGCCCCGATTAAAAAGGAAAAGGAAAAAAATGTCTGTTCTGCCAAAGGATGTTTATTTTTCAGATTGTTCTCTAACTTTTGGTACTATTTTATAAAGTGCTAGGACATGGTTTCACATATGTAGGCCTCTGAGTTATAATGTACATATCCAGTAATCTGAGAAGTGAATCGGATTGATACTGACTTCATCGGATCAGGTATCAGCCAGATGGGAACAGATCAACTTAGATACTTTCGATTTCTGAACGCTTTCTGTTTTTCTCTGTTTGCTGCAGTGAACTTGTTTCAACATGTGGCCGGGAAGCGTTTCTGGACTGAAGAGTCGTAGAGACTGAAGACATACTGCCTATCCTGATGAACCAACTCCTAATAATCACAGTGGTAGAGTACGTAAACAACCATTCATTCACATTTTTGGGCGATACATTTGGTTGGGAAACCGTGCTGGTGACAATCACTGCTTGCAAAGCCATTTGGAATCATTGCGTGGAAGAAGAAACAAAGTGCGTTAATAGAGATGAATAAAACTAGGACTGATTTTAGGTCTTCAATCATAAATGACCATTTTTTGCCACTGCGACAAAACACCAAAAGGGAGCAGTTGGTTTCGTTTAGTATGTCGCTTTTGAAAAGGAACATCCACACATAGGGAAAATAGGGCATAAAGGGCAGGAAAAGCATGTCATGTAGCTGAATGATGAATTTTAACCCTTGCTCATGTGGACCTAATCACTGCTCTTCACAGCTTTTTCACAATGGTAATCTTAAATGAACTGTTGACTGTCTGTACTAAGGTCAGGATATGGTAAAGATGCATTTTTTAAATATTTCAAATTTTAGAAAATGAGAGAACTGTTATGACATTGATACTACTCGATGTTGGCAGATGCACAGCTCGGTTAGGAACAAATCAAACAGTTTACACTGCAAGAAAATCTCTCTCTATTGAACTGCTGTACATTGATTCAAAAAAAATGTCTACATTAAAAATGATTGGAAACTAATTAGCTTGAGAATGCTCTTAGTACATAAGGCCAGCTCTTAGGAAGAGTCCTTCACAAAGTGGAAGTGTCCTCATGTGAATAGCCAACATGCTGCACTTGTAATTAAAAACCTGATCATGTATGAACATGTTACTTTTAAACATAGACCTGCTTTACTGACATGGTTGTAGAGGTTTTTGGTAAGATTTTACCCTAATTAGACCGATTTAAGTAAAGGCATGCAGATGACATACAACAAAGGCTCTGGTTGTTTTAAAATCGGGTTGCGTTCCGATAATCCAAAAATCAGCTCCTAAATTCTAACCCTATCTCCTATTCCTTGACCTCTGAGTGAAACGTCACGGGGTTAAGGGATAGTGGATAGGAGAATTCAAAAGGACTTAGGAGAAGAGACTGCGGTACTTTAGAGAATCCGAATGCACTTTCACTATCCGACGTGTTTACGATGCGCCAGCGGACGTCATTGTGTGCGTCTGCTGCTGTGGGGAAACTATGGAAACTACAGTGTTCTATTCAGCAGACTACAACATGGATGTTTAATAAGAACGAGGGACTACTGTAAACTCATCTAGAGACTCTGCACCGTGCTCTGATGCTGTTGTTTTATGCTTTATGAACGTGGACA